TATTTAACTAGTGATTTGCAAATGTGGAATCAATAAAGGCACAGAAATAAATCATCCTCAAAAGTAAACCTATAACCTCACTTCTACTCTTTTCTTATATATACATATTAAAAGTAAATATTTTATAAACAGAACTGCATTATATAAACACTGTAAATGACAGTTGGATGAATGTTTGGTAAAGTTTTGAGCAATTATTCAACTTACTATTCCCTAAATAAAGCTGACACAGCGTGTTCAACCTCACTTTATCAGTTGGATTAAAAAAAGCTACATTTATAAAAACTTGAACAATTTATATACGGGCAAATGACCCAATTACTGTGCAGGCACCAATTACTGCGCACTCGACGGTAACTGAAAATAAGAAAAACAGACTGAAAATTTGGGTACTTGGATATTGTAACACGTACGGACATTAATAACGTTCAATCCAGAATCATACTTTACGTCATGACATTTATAATTGTTTAACTGAGTGACTCTAAACGAATCTAACCTACAAAACTTTGTAGTCGTGCGTAGTGATTGGTGCGCAGCAATTGGGTCTAGGGCTTCAGCATGAAAACCTTATGGGAGATACCCGCCCAGTAATTGGGGGCGCAGTGACTGGTGTTAATTTTGTAACCGTGCGCAGTAATGCCAGCAAGTGATATCAGCACTAAAACAATCATTAAAAAAAAAAAAAAGTTACTTAAGGTGGCTCCAGCGCCTAGTGCCGTATCAAAATGGAGAGACTAAAAATTAATCATTATTTTCTTTAAAATATGGTATGAAATTATCGTAGAGACTGTTGTAAGCCATATTCTACATTTTATCTATTACTTTAGTGAGTAAATATAAAAAAACAAAAAAGTTTTATGGTGCCCTAATTGATGAACTGTTACGGTACGCTCCTAAGTTCAAGAGTAGTTATACCTATATATATGTACTCTGCAGAATTCAGACAGCTGAGAGCTGACTTGCACTCGCCACTGTATACTTAGTCTCCGATTATTTAAAGATTTTGTTCGATAACAAGACACTTTTCTCATGTCATCGAAAACTGCGTGATAATATATACAAGATATTATGTTTTTACACCTTACGGGTTATTTATATAAGTGCAGCAGTAGGTTGTATATCGCGTAAGCTTGCATTTCCTATCTAACCCGTCTTAAAACTACGATTTTGTAAGCATGATTTCTTACAATTTTCATCGTCAACCTTAATTTTTTTTTATACGAATAGAAAGATGAGAATTCAAAGAATATAATTCAATTTTATTAACCTCGGTTGGGTTATTTATAATTTTAACATTGAGGCCACTGGAGCCACCTTAACAGAAAAATGTTTGTCGTTTCAATCGCACAAGATGCTGCAGATAAAGATTAAGTAAAACTGGTTCAATTTACATCGGAAAACATTGAGAAATGAGAAATTTAGTACAATCAAAAATTTCAGTGCGCAGTAATTGGATCATTTATCCCTACTCACAGCTAAGGTCAACACTTGTAGATCGATAAGCACTTGTTTAAGATAGAAAAACAATAATTATTAGCGCATTTATTGAGTAGGTAAGTGAGACACAACAGGCAACGATTTAATCATATCAAAGCAAAGTCAATTCGATGTATGAAACGGTCTAATCAAATCTATGTGTACATGATTAACAACCCCTAGCTTCCTAGTGAGGCAAAAGTGTAAGTACAGGCAGATTAAACGAGGCTCAAACAGTGATGAACCGGGAAAAATTATTCGCACCCAATTTTTGTATACTTCCTTGTTCAAAATTTAGCAATGTTCCTGAAAGCCCTGAAAACCGGAAAAAATGCATTTTTTGAGACTTTGGGAATTTTTACTCGAAAACTGTGGTGTTTAGGTACATACATTCCAATTGGTTTTTTGTTCTAAATGTGCCAAAGAATCTGAGAATATTTTTTTCAGGTCGAAAAAACTTTGACAGAATTGTTTACAAAAAAAATTGTTTAAACAATACCTAACCACATTCTTGGGTGGCAAGATAAACTTTCAGGAACATTACTAAATTTTGAACAAGGAAGTATAAAAAAATTGGGTGCGAATAATTTTTCCCGGTTCATCACTGTTTGAGCATCGTTAAATCTGCCTGTACTTACACTTTTGCCTCACTAGGAAGCTAGGGGTTGTTAATCATGTACACATAGATTTGATTGGACCGTTTCATACATCGAATTGACTTTACTTTGATATGATTGAATCGTTGCCTGTTGTGTCTCACTTATCTACTCAATAAACGCGCTAATAATTATTCTAATCTCGGTCTAATTATAGTGTTATGAAAATTGGAGACAAAAACCTTACATGAATTCTGTTTCCAAATGTGCCAAAGAATCTGAGATTATTTTTTTCAGGTCAAAAAAACAACTTTGACGAAATTGTTTATAAAAAAATTGTTTAACAAACTTTCAGGTACATTACTATATATTGAACACGAAAGCTCAAAAAAGTTGGGTGCGAATAATTTTTCCCGGTTTATCACTGTTAGAGCCCGGTCTAGATGGCGTGATGGCACGCGGCTTAGCTTGGCGCTACCTTAGCCACCCCTCTAGTATTTTCTGCATACCTCCACCGAAAATTTTTCAAGTATTATATACAATCCAATGTTAATTGGAATGAGAAGATGTGAATAAGGCTAGACTTCGTACAAAGCGTCGATAGGTTCTGCTCTGCTCCTTAACCTCCCTCACTAGGTCTGCGTAATATATGATACTTCAAGAAATGAATTCTTAGACTAGAAGAATGAAAAATAGTAGAATGTTTTTCAACAATGGTAACTCGTTTATTTAAAAAATTAGATATTTTTACAATGTAAAAAAATACAGTAGAGAAAAAATAGTGTCAATTTAATAAAACTGTCAGAATATTTTAAATGTCTAAGTCCTCAGCATTTTGGTTTTGACCCAATAACCCAATTACCCATCGTAATTTGCACGAATATTGCAATCATGTGTTTCTTCTTCTTCCTCTTTTGCAATTACACGTTTGAAAGCACGATATCTCTTGACTCTATCCTCACTTAATGACAACGATCGTTTCACTGTCTTACTCATTCTACAAACAAAAAAAAATAAAAAAAACTATTCAATAAAAATGCAGAGAACCCGTAACATGCCAGTTAATTATCTTACATACACTGCTCCAAAATGGCTGTCATTAGCTACGTTGTACCTATATACATTGTGGCTTCAGCTATAGTATAAGAAAGAGTGAGATGAAAGATACCCAGCTACGCTTCCTACCTAGTCCCTACCAATTCCACCGTAACAAAACCTACCTAGGGCCTACCTAGGCCCCCTCTAACTACCGAGCCAGCCTAGTTAAATTTCCGATCAGGATCAAGGTAGCGATGTAACACCATAATCGATAACGCCATCTCAATACGATGTGAAACGATCGGAACCATCGGAGGAATTTAAGAGCGTTGCTAAGTTATGAAAACAATAGAAAAATTTGATAAAAGTTACAAATATCAGTACTCAAACCATCCAAAATCCACACAAACTTTTTTAACATTGATTCCAAGCCTGAATACCGACACATGACGCGGTTAATATACGAACAGTCACGGGCTGATGAATTGATGATACATGAAAAAGGACAGCCACGGGCATACGGAAATTTACGGGATTTATTCATACAAAATTACCGTGACAAACAGCCATGGGCGTACGGATATTAACGGGATCTTCTGTCTAAAATAACCGTGACGGGCAGCCGCGGGTATACGGAAATTTACGGGATTTATTCATACAAAATTACCGTGACAGACAGTCAGAGGCGTACGCAAATATACGGGATTCATTCATCTAAAATTACCGTGTCGGACAGTCACGGGCAAACAGAAGTTTACGGGATTCATTCATACAAAATTACCGTGACGGACAGCCGCGGGCCTACGACAGGATACGGAATTTATTTATCTAAAATTACTGTGACGAACAGCCACAGGCATACGGAAATTCACGGGATCTTTTCATCTAAAATGATTGTGATGGAAAGCCACGTGCATAGAGAAATTTACGGGATTTATTTATACAAAATTACCGTTACAGACAGTCACGGACGTACTAAAACGGGCATACGGGGTTCATCCATACAAAATTACGGTGACGGAAAGTTATAGACGTACGGAAATTTACGGGATCTATTATCTAAAATAACCGTGACAGACAGCTACGGGCATACGGAAATTGACGGGATCTATTCATCTAAAATAACCGTGATGGTTAGTCACGGGCATACGAAAATTTACGAGATTTATTCATACAAAATACCGTGACGGACGGTCACGGGCGCCCCGTTATTAACGGGATTATTATGGTTTGACGAGCGTGTGCTGTAAACACTTACACGAAAATCGTCTTATTGTTACGTTTTGTCACGAGCAGAAACGGAAACAGGCCTGTACATGCTAGATAAATTAACTGTACGGAAGATGACGGAAGTGGTATTTTTCTTCGTTATCTTGAACATTTTCCTACACGGACACGAAACGGAGAACGAACTTAATAAGAGAACAAAGCAGAATTTCTACCACTTGTCATAAATGTTGCGTAGGTTGTTTGACAAACATATAACGGTCAGATTACCAAAGTTTGACTGTCACGATTATGACGTTACATCACTACCTATAAAACATAACTGTCATAGCTATGATCATGCTCACGTATTAAAACTTAAATAATAATAATAAAAAAAGTTGTGTCACTACATTGTCGAAACTCGCAATTATGTTCTGCTGCGTTAAGTTTGATACGCACGATTAGTGGGGTATCGACAGTACTACAATATCTATCATGAATAATTTTTGTATTGCATTGCAAAAATAACGGATCTCATTCATTACTGTTACAGATTTTTTTCCATTGGTCAAATATTTGTTTCAAGTTTTGGATTTAAAGTACAATAAGTTCCAAAGTGATGTAAGAAATTAATATTATTATAATCATTAACGTAAATGATAACTTTTTAATTGTTTTTTACAAGTCTCTTATTACTTCATTCCAAGCTCTCTCAACTTGTTGTTGAGTAACTTCATAACTCCATAATGTTGAAATTACTACGTGAGCATTTTTTACTTGTTCAATGTTACCAGGCTGAACCAAAATACGTTTTTCAGCTTCTTCTTTCGTTAAATTATTTCTGTTCATCAACCGTTTTACAGCCTTTGGACATAAATTGTAATTTTAAAAGTCAGTTAATGATATTATCTAAATTGGTAAATTGAAACCAAAACTCACTTCATCGTATGGAATTATGCATGTCCATATTTCATGGAAAACTTGTTGCCAACCAGCTTGAATTAAGACAGCTGCTTCAACAACTACAACTTTAAAACCTTTTTTATTTAGTTCGTTGACTTGATTTTTTGCTTCTTCAAGAACAGCTGGCCATAGTATTTTATTCAGCTTTTCCAGTTCACTCTGGAAGGCAACAAAGTGGTTATATTATCAATTTATATCCATAGGGTTAAATGAATTTTATTTACACTTACTTTGTCATTAAAAACTAAACTGCCCAAGGCATTTCTATTGACTTGACCATCTTGATTTAAGTACTTATTACCAAATGTATCAATAATTTTATGATAACAATTCATACCAGGTGCGTACAATGCATGAGCAATGAAATCGCAGTTGATGAGCCCTGCTCCTAGTTTTTGTAACTTATCTGCTATCGAAGACTTACCACTAGCTATGCCACCAGTTAATCCAATAATATATGGTTGTATAGGTTTTTCTGTTCTGTTCTAAAATACGATGAAGTCCATTAAAAATTTGAAATGAGAATCACATTAATTTTATTAGTGCTTTAAATATTCACAGGTTGTTTCAATCTTGTTCCTAATAAACGCATTCTATTGTTACTTGAGCTTATTTTTACTTCTTCATGTTCATTATGATCAGGATCTTCAGCTAATTTTACTACATGAATATCCAACTTTCTTAAATTATTTTCAGTTCTCCTGTGGTTAATTAAGTCACCACCTTTCTTTGTTTCTTCACTTACAACAATCAGTTCAAAAGAAGGATCATCCTTTGTTGGACCATAAATATCAGTGATTGGGACAATGTAATATTTTAAAGATGGATCAACGTCTTCTGCAAAATCTTGTAACAATGCAATGCGCTTGGAACATGGCTCTATTAGTTCCCACAGAATTTTTCCTGATAGTTGAAACACAAAACAAAGTATCACTACTACTGTTATTTTATTAGTATGAATGTAGTTTTCACTAAGATATTACATTTAATAAAATTAAATGAAACAATCTATTTACTTTGAATCATATTTGAATCTGTAACTCCTACAGTCAATTCGTGAGAACATCGAAGGATGGCTTCACTCAGAAAAATCTTATGACCTGTGTGTAATCTGTCAAAAGTCCCACCCAAGACCACATTCTTGTACACTTTTCCATCAGAACTCTGTACGTTTGTACTACTCTTAACACAACTCAACTCTTGATTTTTCTGATTAAGCATCAAGAATTCACAATCTATTGACATATTATCTAAGTAATCTTGCATCAAAGTATTGACATCATTAGTATTATAGGTTTCATCAAAGATAACCAATTCCACTGGCCTTTTAGTACGTATAGTTGATCCACTAGAATTTTTCAAGCTCAACAGTAAAACTCTAACATCCAGGCAGTTAGAATAGCTTGAAGCAGAAGCATATATATTTGCAACAATGTGAGAATAACATGGTCCATTCAGTTTGTTAAAAGGTAACTGGGAGTATGAAGTAGAATAGAGAATGTTTTTATCTGGAAAGTACTGAATATAAAGTGTTTTTAAAACATGTTTTTTAATGATTGGTAACAGCTTAGCCACCTTTGCTGGATTAGTAAGTATTAATAGCCCAGTATTGACCATGGTATCAGCAGCTATTTCTAGCAGTGAAATTACTATAAGTCTAATGTTTTCCGTTACTCTTACGGAAGTATATTTAAATAAGGGTCAAAGTGACTAGCACTTCAGTGACGACTGCTTGATATAATTCTAAATGCAAATATGTATCAATGTCATATGATGCAACGAATTCCTACTCACAGTATTAAATCGTAAAGGATATTATTCACTGTAATTGCGATAAGAAAATTCACTCTTCCTTCGTTTTTATATTAAAGACTATAAATACTAAAAGCATTTACAATTAATGAAAATAATCTGTAGCAGTTAAATAAATATTTACGTACAATAATTAAACCGTTTTCAGTAACGGTCTACACACTTCTCTTTATGGCTTAATTAAGGTGGCTTTAATGATTTTTCAAAAATGAAACTATCACCATAAATCGGTTGCGTAAACAAAAAGCAACAAAAATTCACCTTCGAACTTTTTCACGCAATCGAACAGAGAAATAAGAATTCTTATATCTCTATGCAAGCCACGATGTATAAGGCTGCAGTCACATAGAGCGCAATAGAGCGAGCAAGATAGGAATTTCTCCACAAGCGGCTGTGTTAAGTCTATTGCGCCGCGCAATACATAGAGATAATGGGTGTAATGTAATCCGCAATCGCCGCTAGCAGTTACATGTGTAAGACGTGACTCACGTGACAACGTTGCGTGGTTGGGGGCGCTACTGTCGATTTACTGCTGATGTGATCCGCTATCCCGCCAGCAGTAAAGCAGACAACGTCGGTCTACTTGCTCTTTTTCGTGACATTTTTGCTGTGATCCCGCGCAATCCCGCCAGCAGTAAAGCTGTTATTTCCATTTTTGCTGTAATCCCGCGCAATCCCGCCAGCAGTAAAGCTGTTATTTCCATTTTTCTTTTTGGCACTTGAAACATTTGTTTACAATTAGAAAATGTCACGAAAAAGAGCAAGTAGACCGACGTCGTCTGCTTTACTGCTGGCGGGATTGCGGATCACATCACCAGTAAATCGACAGTAGCGCCCCCAACCACGCAACGTTGTCATGTCTTACATATGTAACTGCTAGCGGCGATAGCGAATTACACCCAATATAATAGAGGAAGCGAACTGTATATTCTTCTGTAAGTGGAAGCGTACGGTCAGTAGACAGAGGACGACGACTGTTTTGGTCTTGCATCTATCTCTGCTCTCTGCATTGATTGGCTGCGCTTGACAGTGCATATATAGTAGTAATTATAGTAGAGCTGTAGGTATATATGTGGCCATGGTGTAAGAATAGACAGGTGGGCCGAAGGCCTACCTCAACGCATTGTAAAAAAAGTTCAAATTTTGTCGCAGTACCGATACTAGCCACCAGAGGGATCCGTGTCGTGCAGGCCATTGATAGTATGAAAATTTTTTTTTTCTTTTTCTTTTTTTTTTTTATATAGTCATACTGACCATTATAAAAACTGCCTCTACTACTCGAAACCACCTAGCGGATTTTAGATGTACTGCGACACAAATTGGACTCGATAGAGGCGGGCCTTCGGCCCACCTGTCTATTCTTACACCATGTATGTGGCGGCTCCGACTTCACAGCCGAGCAAGCGCAAGCAATATCCCGTTCCGCGCGACATCTTTAGTACTCATCAGATGGCGCCACCGAACGGGTAATTGTAGGGTTTAAGTCCTATATATATATGTGTCGTCGTGAGAGAAGGTGCTGGAATGAGCAGAGAGACTTTGTACGTGAGTGTGTGCTTTATTTACAGTGATTACATATGTGGCTCGGACTTGAGCTCAGCAAGGACTGAAGTCGTCAGTAAGCGGTTACACCGCACGACTAGTATAAGAGTGGGGGTAAGCCCCTACATAATCGAGGCTCGGGATGTGCCGCTAGTTAAGCTGGCAACTCCTCGACCAGCAAGTTAGTCCGAAGTGTGGTCGAACTTCTTGAACCCTGTGCTACCCTCCTATCCTCGGGTAAGCACGAGCATACCCAGCGGTTCCCCACTTGGTGACCGCGACGTGATCTGTCGTAAGTAAAACGGTGAACCACCATTGTTTTTTTCTTCACTCGACCCAAAGTGCCGTACAACAAATAAAAACGCGTCTCATCTGCCTTTTCTCCTGGCACGCGCGTTGGACCTCGCATCTTGTGTCCTTCCAGCCAAAACCTGTGCGGGCGATTACTCTCGCACCGGTCGCGCGAGCAAAAAAAAAAAAGAGAAAAAAAGGGAAAAAACCTCTGAGACGAGCCAGACGGGCGTTTTTGTTTTTATTTTCTTTCCCTTCTCTCTTCCGAGAACTTCAAGGCGCTGATCCCGCCAAACGCTCTGTCCCTCTTTTTCCCCCTCGCCGCAGTATAACCTATACTTCCTTCGTGTATAGACCTTTTACATCTATACACGACGACGCGAGTGAGTGAACATTAGACGTAACAAAAAATAAACAAAGTGACTGTGCCACGCGTGGCTTGGCTTTTTGCCTAGCAGACAGCCCGCTAACACGACAATCAACGTCCATTCGCCTGTATCCCCGGCATCATCTCGTCGACACTGGAGGGTAACTCTTTGGACAGCAGCAGCCCGGATATTTCCTCCACGGCCGACAGACAGACAAAGGACCGCGAGGAGCGTGCTCGTCATCGCGAAGAATCGCGAGAACAGCAACTTTTCCTCCATCAGCTGCAGGAACTGGATGATACCGATATGGCCGGGGAAGATGCCACCCAACAACAACAGCAAAAACCGGTAGGCAGAGCACCCTGCTCACTACCTCGCTGCTGGGCCAGCAACCTAAAGGCATGGTTTCTGTCAGCGGAGGCCAAGTTCAACGTCAGTGGCACATCTGATGACAGGGCCAAGTACGACTTGGTCGTGGCCTCCCTCGAAGCAGCAACGGTGAACGAGCTCCTGGATGTGCTGGAACATCGACCAACTGAAAACCTCTACAGAGTCCTTAAAGAGGCCATTCTGTTACGCCTAACAGACTCTCAGGATAAGAGGCTGGATCAGCTGTTCAATAAGCTGGAGCTCGGCGACAAGAGGCCGTCGCAGCTTCTTCGCTCCATGCGATCCCTGTCTGACAACAAAGTCACAGAGGAGGTGCTCAAGGTGAAGTGGCTTTACCTGCTCCCTCCACAGGTCACTCGCATTCTAAAGATCATTAAAACCACTTCATTGGAGGAGCTGGGCTCTACGGCAGACGACCTGATCGAAACCAACCCAGGAGTGTTCACAGTCTCAAGCACTACTCGACCGACTCCTTCGACCCCGGCCCTCAATGACTCAAGCCTGACTTCAGTGTCCACACCAGACAGTCAGCTGGCCCAACGGGTAGAGACCCTCTCAGCGTAGGTCAGCCAGCTCAGTCTGGAGCTCAACAACCAACCTGCGAGAGATGGTCAAAGGAAAGGCAGATCTCGAAGCAGATCCAACACACGAGCTGGCCCAGGTGGATGTCTTTGCTGGTTCCATCGGGAGTTTGGTGTCAAGGCCAGACACTACACACCTCCCTGCTCTTTTTTCCTGAGTCAGGGAAACTAACCTCTCCCCCTCTGGTTCAGACGACAGAGGTGGAACAAACTCAACTTAGTGGAAAACGCCTTCACATAATGGATAGGAACTCGCGCCTTACGTTCCTTATCGACTCAGGCTCTGAGGTCTCGATAATCCCTAAGTCAATTTTCAGGAAGCCTCGACCTCCAGGAAGACTCACTCTCCATGCGGCTAACCTCTCTCCCATAAAGACTTATGGGACGCACGACATGGCATTGGACTTGGGCCTTCGCAGAGTCTTTAAATGGCCTTTCATCATAGCGGAGGTTCCCACTCCAATCATCGGCGCAGACCTGCTGAGTGACACTGGGCTCTTGGTAGACATTAAGAACAAGAAGCTCATCGACTCAGTCACCAAGCTCAGTGCTGCTGGCACCCTGTTCCTGGCCAAACTACACAGCATCTCAGCTGTGCTCAGTCTGTCAACACCAGGACCATTCAGCCAAGCATACGATAGCATGCTTCGTACATTCATGGACATCGCTTCCCCGGAGAGCACTACTGCTTCTCTGCTAGACCTGCCTGTCAAGCACAGCATCGTGACCACCGGCCCTCCAGTATTTGAGCATCTAAGACGACTCATCGGCCAGCGCTTGAAAGTTGCGAAGAAGGAGATTGGTCTTCTCCTCGCGCAGGGGATTGTCCGCCCCTCTTCTAGCCAGTGGGCCAGCCCGCTGCACTTGGTGCCGAAGCCGGACAGAGGTTGGCACGTGACAGGGGACTACCGCCGTCTCAACGCCATCACCCAGCCAGACCGCTACCCTCTGCCTATTGTGGAGGACATCCTTCAGGAGGCAAGAGGCTCAGTCTTCTCCGTGGCAGACCTACGCAAAGCGTTCTATTAGATCCTCATCACAGAGGCGAACGCTCCAAAGACGGCTATAACAACTCCTTTTGGTCTCTTCGAGCTCACCAGATCATCTCTAGGCCAACGCAACGCAGTGCAGTCACTCCAGCGCACGGTGGACCATCTGCTGAGGGATCTGCCTTTCGTCCGGGCTTACTTAGACGATTACATCGTCTTCTCACCAGATCACGAGACGCATATATCAGGCACCTGAAGGAGCTCTTCAACGTCCTACGCAGCGCCAAGCTTTGCATCCACCTATAAAAGTGCGTCCTAGGTCAGACACAGGTAGATTTTTTAGGTTATCTTGTGTCTGAGGCTAGTTTCAAGCCTTTACCGGCCAAGATCAAGGCAATTTCGGATTTTCCAAAGCCAGAGATGGCCTCACAGCTGCGAAGGTACCGCGGCATGCTTAACTACTACCGTCGATGCCTTCCTAGAGCAGTCGCCGTCCTCGCACCACTCAACGAGCTTCTCAAAGGCCTTCCGGAGAACAGCAAAAAAGCCAAACTGAATTGGTCGCCGGAAGCAGACACTGCTTTCGCTCAATTCAAACTAGCGCTGTCATCTGCAGTGACGACCTCTTTCCTGCGCCCAGATACACCTCTGGCTCTTAAGACTGACGCGTTCATTCACGCGATCGTAGCCACTCTGGAGCAGAAGCACCCCAAAGGTGTCTGGTCACCCTTGGGCTTCTTTTCACAAAAGCTGTCATCCACCGAACAACGCTATAGCACGTACGACAGGGAGCTGCTGGCTATCTACCGTGCTATAAAGCACTTCCAGAGATTTCTCGAAGGCAGGTCTTTCACCACCTTCACCAATCAGAGGCCTCTGACCTACGCAGCTCTCCAGCCTTCAGACAAAGCTTCCCCGAGACAGCTTCGCCACTTGGACTATATTCTGCAGTTTTGCACCAACCTGCAGCACATTAAGGGGGAGGAAAATGTGGTGGCAGACGCCCTTTCGAGAGTCGAGACCATCTCGATGCCATCTCGCCTGGATCCAGCATCCATTTCAGCTGCCCAAGCTTCAGACGAGGAGCTGGCTCACCTTCTTCAGGATCTAAACTTCGCTCTGCAATGTGTGAACATTGAGGGGCTTAACCTATACGTCGATGTCTCCCTGGATCACCTCAGGCCA